GAATCATGCTTGCATCTAATGTCAGTGTAGCTGCATCCTTCATACCGTCTATATAGCTCCTTCTTCTCAGGGTAGTTAAGATGAGCAGATAAATCTTCCAGTCTGCCAGACCACTCACACTGTTTCGCATGGTATATGCAGTAAACTTCTAAGACCTTCACTCTTCTTTGATGAGCACGATCAGAGAAAGTAAAACATTGCTTGGAGTAACACGAAGGGCATGGAACACATGCCTTTTTATGACAATCTCCACACACATGCACTCCACAGCAAGAGGTTTGGTAAGGATTTTGCATAAAGAGTCGACATTTCATACAATAGATACCAATACCCAAATCCTCAGGTAATGGCTTCACAAAAGATAACTTAATATCCTTTCGCCATGATACTACAAATTCAGCCATCGCAAATAGTTTCAGCAAATTTTCCTTCCCTTTAGATACAGCCTACACTAGTATGATTCTGTCAGTTTATATAACTTTGTAGGCTGCAACTTATGAATTTATATAATCTTTCAAAAGCTCAAAAACTAATAATTAGGGTATATTTGGTACAACAACATGAATCCCACATCACAGTTAGTCCAGTACTGTAGCATAACTGCTAGGATTTCTTTGTTTATTGTAAGTTAATGCACAAATACATACAAAAGCATAAGTACATTAGTACATACTACTTAAAGGGTAACTGACATGATTTTCTAGGGTATTTTTATTGGCCTTATATAATCATAAAAATGATTCATACTGCCGTGACTTAATATAGAGCTGACGTGAATGACATATCTCATTAATACCGTAGGTTGGGATATATTTGTGGCTGCAATTATTCGCGGTCATAAAAAATTTCAATTAAAAACCATGGAAACCGAGGTGTTATTTTAATTGAAAACGGTGCGATAGTGAAGAAAAGCACCTTGCTGCAGTGCTCGAGCTGTTGTTCTTCTTGTGTCACTAAGCCTTGGGCTCTTTGGAGCTGCTTTACCGGTTCTTTTCAGAACTAGTGCCTCGCCATATTTTGGGACTCTCCACCCATTCTAGTTAGTGTTTATTGACTTGGGTGTGGTTTATTATCACCAGCACACGGACCAGCAACAATTTGCAGCAAAGAGGCTGAAAGAGCTCTGAGGTAGCTGTCCATACAAGAAGTTAACAGATAGAGAAGGACTCGCTATTGGTGAATGGCTCCAGTAAAGCTGCTAAAGAACAGATGAATAGCTGAACACTAAACACATGGTCTTAATTGTCATAGCAACGCTCTAACAGTTTCGATGGTTTTTAATTGAATTTTTATGACCACGAATAATTGCAGCCGCGAATATATCCCGACCTACGATATTATTCCTTCTGACAATTTGCTATAAAATCATTACACAACAAAAAAATATTAAAGCAGCAACTGTTATCTTAAAAAATACACAAGTGTCAGTATAAAGCGATGACCAGCAAATAAAACAACAATATGCACAGTTAACTACTAAAAGTTATATACTAAAGAAACTTTAATGATAGATATACTATCCTCTGCTCTATATCTCCCAGGAATATGAGGGTCATATACATTTTGATACTCCTCAGACCTAAAACGCCTTGCAAGATCAGCTTCATTAAGTTCAAATATTTGTGGATCACATTTATCACTCTTTATTATCATTTTCTTAGCTTGAGGTATTACTCTATGACCACCCCGATACACTTTGAGCTCAATATAATGGCTCATCAAAGTTCTGGACTTTATAATCTTCACTGACATTTTGCACTTTAGATCATCAGAGAAGAAAAAGACTGGCTGACCATCTGCTTTTACACAAACTGGATTGCTTTCATCACCAGTAACTGGAAGATCACCGTGTACAGTATGATCGAGTCTCTTTCACACTAGTTTGAGTAAGATGATCCAGCTTTTGATTGGCCTCTTTCAGTTCCTTCCTCAAATCTTCTTTATCCTTTTCCAATTGTTCCCTTAATTCTTTGTTTTCTTTTTTCAATTGTGAGCAAGCCCCAGCTAGCAGTAGTAAGTGGTCCTGTTGGCTAGTAGCATTGTGCTGGCGCTCATCTTTACGCTTTGGCCTATCATTGCACCCAGCCCACTTAAACTGGCAATCTATTGGTTGGAATGGGCAAACAGTGCCAAGATGATGCTGAAGATTCTCTCGCTGAATAATGAAGTCCTTGTGATCTTTATTTGTACAAGGCACAGGAAACATACCACAAGTTTTATGATGGGATTCTACTTGCTCAAAAGTGCCTTTAAAAATGCTACAATAAGTACATATCGCTGGTCGGTGTTTGCAGTTTTCTTCATGATCTTTTAGCAACCTCCGCTCCACATAACACGAGAAGCAAGAATCATGCTTGCATCTAATTTCAGTGTAGCTACATCCTTCATATCGTCTATATAGCTCCTTCTTCTCACGGTGATTAAGGTGAGCAGATAAATCTTCCAGTTTGCCAGTCCACTCACACTGCTTCACACAGTGTATGCAGTGAACTTCTAATGCTTTTATTCTTCTTTGATAAGCACGGTCAGGGAAAGCATTATACTCATTGGAGGAACAAGAAGGACAATTACAATTATAAATGTATGTAGCATTTGCCTTTTTATGACAGTCTTCACAGAAGTGCACACCACAACAGGAGGTTTGGTGAGGATTTTGCATAAAAAGTCGACATTTGTTACAATAAATATCCAAATCCTTAGGCAGTGGCTCAACAAAAGATAAGTTCATATTCTTGGGCCATGATACTACAAAAGAGCTGCTTCCAGCCATTGCAATACTTCTGCTTGTCTTGAGATACAGTCTACACTATAATGATCTGTGGCAAGGGATTTTTTCGGCAGTATACTATTGACTTTGTAGGCTGTAGCTAAATTAATCTTTCAAAAGGTCAATAACTGATAATTAGGTTATATTTGGTAGAACAACTCATTAATATCGAATAATAAATTATTATCTTAATTCTCAAGTCACATTTCAGACTTTAGTCTACCAGTACTGCAGTTTAACTGCTTGGATCATCTTGTATATAAGTTGAACAGATACATACAAACTTAATACAACACATGTACATGCACATAAAGTTGTATACAGTCTATATATACATGCACTGATCCCCTTACCTTTAGTATGTATGGTTTCTGTGAGAGAGCAGCTGCTCCTTGTAATCCACTCAACTCATTAATCAACGAGTTATGAAGAGTCTTCACATCAATATAAGCCACGCCCCCTTCCTCCCTCTCACAATATCTCACCACCTCCTCAGTACGTCCCTCGTCAAAATACTGCAACTTTAAAGTGGGCGTGGCCAACAACGACACATCCATGAGATCAAGAAGAGAGAGTATCTTTCGACGACCGTTATTAGAATATTCATTAGGTACTTCCCCCTGCCCCTCCCCCCATGACATGAGGAGTTCTTCTTGAGTTAGACCAGTAGTGTTGCTTTTCATCAAAAGACTCGCTAATCGCTGGGCATGTGATCTTTGATTAATACTTACTGTCACTTTAAGCTCTATGGCAACAGATCGGAGTATCCATGACAACTGATTATAACATGACATTGCGCTCTCTTCACTGTCATCCGGTAACCATGGAAACGGGACGGCAGAGAGTTGAGTGTAGAAGTAGTCGTGGTTATTACGTAAATAACGAAGCGTGGGCGTACCGAACTCTTTACTAGCTGAAAGACAATAGAGCAACTGATAGGAGAGCTCGGCTAGTTTAGGATGGGTCAAGTGACAGCCGAGAGGAGAGGGGAAGGAGGAGGAACCACTGGAACCAACTTTAACTAAACTGAGGACTGAATGGAGACAGGTTCTAGCAGAACCCAACACACCTTGAGAGAAGGAAAGAGAGAAGAGATACATGTAATTGGAATAGTACTAAACTGCATGTACATGTACATGGGAATGTAATGAGCATAATAAATATAAATCAGAGGTTTAATATTCATGACAAATTTTATATCGAAATGTTGTGCCAAGTGTCATTGAACATGTGATTAAAGCAAAATGGTTGACTTCATATTGGCAATTTCTTCACTGAACCGCCAATTGCCAATATTTATTCCTGACCAATAAATCATCTTTTAAGGTACATGTACATGTAATTCTCAATCCCATGGTATTACATGTACCTGGGTCCTGAAGAATAACGTCCGATAGTTTCTTAGAGTGTCCCCCAAGGTTTTCCTTAGCTTGTTCAAACCCGAGAAGGAGGTGAGCAATGTTTCTAGATCTCTTCAGCACACAGGATATTAATAGTCTAATGATGTCCTCTTTTAGCTGTCTTTGAGTTTCAGCCTCAGTCCTAGTCAGAGAGTCTTCATCAACCTCCAAGTGCTCAACAAAACCATGAACTATATCAACACAAGCTTCCTGTGGAGAGAAGGAGAAATAATTATAATCAAAGATTAATTATAATGAATGAAGGAATGGAAGAGATGCACATGTAATGGTAGAAAGAAGTATGTATACATTTCATTGAATTATATTCATGAATCATTAACACTATATGCTATGAGAAGTGTCTGTAGTATCAGCACATAGTGATTGGTACCACTCCTCTGCTACAGTTAGTATTGTCATTATTGACTGTATTTTGACTAAATTTGGCCATTTTACAGTAATGCCCTAACCCTCTCTCTTTTTCTCTATTGATGTACATGTAGACTATCAGTCGATTATTTTATTGACAAATACATGTACATGTACAACACCACTCTATTAGTATTAGTATACATGTACAGTGCATGGAGTTGACTAACATTGTCATTAAGTAATGAGTTCAAGACATCACGTCCCACAACTGATGATCTTGAAGCTAATCCAATGATCCTAACAGATACTAGAGACAACTCTGGACTAACTTTACTTAATGTAATGTATCTAAAGGAAGAGTAGGGGATAGGAAAGAGAAAGAATAAAGACGACATAAACACACATGTATGTACATGTATACCAAAAATCTTCGAAAAAGCCAGCCTTTTGTGGATTTATGTACACTACAAGCTTATGAAAGAGTACAATTTTAAGCAAAATATGCAGAAAATTTATAATTTTAACTATACAGTATACATGTACATGTGTTGTACACTGTACCTAGTTATATTGAGATAATGATCAGCCTGACCGCTCCGAGGGTTAATCCCAAACAGTAGACTATCAAGAGGTGTGGCCATCATAGAGTGATCAGTGCTGCTCCTCAGTAGGGCCAGGAAGTTGTTCTGTTTATTGAGAGCAACCTCAATCATCTTGAGGGACAAGAGGGAGGCCTCTTCAACCTCTTTAGTGCAGCTATCCACATCAGACAGTAAGTGATAGGACTCAGATATTATATACAACAACTGCAATGTAAATATGATAATTAATACAATACCATATAGCACTTATACACATGCACTTTGTGGATATTCCATTGAAAAATTTCTTTGCCACCACTTATTCAATGAATAAATAGGTCATTTCACAATATTTTTTCATCCACAAATGCTTAGCAGGAAAAAAATTCGCTAAGTTTTATATCCACGAAATATAAATGCTACACGGCACATTGGGTATTCTGTTTAATTATGAAAAAAACTTAAGTATGAAATGTAACATGTATTAGTTTATCAAAATTCCATTAAAAAATATACATGATATGTATGTACTACTGTACATGCATGTACATGTAAATAAAACCTTGCCAATAGTAATGCATGTACATGATGTACATGTACATGTGCATGTAATTCCCACTCACTTTCCTCAGTAAAGGAGTGTCATTCAGTAAATGGAGTAGTATATTAAAACCTGGCAGCTTAGGTAGAGTAACAAACTGACTCCTTCCCACTCCTCCCATTACAGGAGCTGGTCCTGGGATCTCGTAATGCTGCTCTATCAAATCTTCATGAGAGAGTTCGTGCTGATCAACTAGCTTGAGTAATATCTTGAGAGCAGAACTAGCTACTGTCCACTGTAAAAAGAAACAACATCATTAAAATATAGATTATGGAAATGGGTGCCTTCATAAAGTTTCTTATCAGAAATTACTCAAATTATAATGGTAATAATGAAATGAGGACATCATACTCATGCAAGAAAAATCAGGGATTTTTGTGAAAGTAAAAATCCACTTTAAAATATGCCATAAGACAATATTATATTTACCTTTTCCTGGGGGTCCTTATATCCTCTACTGTCAAACTTAAGGAAGACAGAGTCCTGTACAAACTGAAGGTAAGGTTGGAACCCTGGGACTCTATGATCAGAGCCCAGGTAGGGTGGTAGGGGGATATCGGTCAGTCTGTCCAGGAGACTCAGGAATGAACGGGTTTCATAATACTCTTCAGCTGCTGACTCTATCTCTTCTAATTCGATCTATTGATGAATGAAAGAGAAGACAGAAAGTAGGAGCAATATACATTTGTAAAAGAGTATACAATTTTAAATAATAATTGTAACCTTTCTACAGTGACCTTTTTACAGGGTTTCCCACAAAGAAATGTTACATGTAAGTGAGGTAAAAAACATGCGGTCTTTAGTGCCAACTTAAAAAATTTTATTGGAAATTTCTATGTAATATCAGAATGCATCAAAATAAATTATAAAAATAGAGAATTCTCTCCTAGTTATTTTCGGCAAAATTTGACCAAAGTCCAGTAACTTCAAAAATTTGTAAAAAAATCAATTTTGATCGGAATGAGCTCAAACTTGATACACAACATAAGTACATGTATATGCATCAGAAAATGTAATAAAAATGGAGAATTCTCTCCTAGTCATTTTTGTCAAAATTAATTTTGACCAGTTACCCTGTACTATAGTACAGGGTCTTTGGTCTGATTTTTGAGCAACTTTAAAAATTCATAAAAAATCTAATTTTGATCAGATTCAGCTTAAACTTGATACACAACATAAGTACATGTATATGCATCAGAAAATGTAATAAAAATGGAGAATTCTCTCCTAGCCATTTTTGTCAAAATTTGACCAGTGACTCTGTACTATAGTACAGGGTCTTTGGTCCGATTTTTAAGCAACTTTAAAAATTCATAAAAAATCTAATTTTGATCGGAATGAGCTCAAACTTGATACACAACATAAGTACATGTACATGCATCAGAAAATATAATAAAAATGGAGAATTCTCTCCCAGTCATTTTTGTCAAAATTTGACCAGTTACCCTGTACTATAGTACAGGGTCTTTGGTCCGATTTTTGAACAACTTTTAAAAATTCATAAAAAATCTAATTTTGATCGGAATGAGCTCAAACTTGATACACAGCATAAGTACATGTACATGCATCAGAAAATGTAATAAAAATGGAGAATTCTCTCCCAGTCATTTTTGTCAAAATTTGACCAGTTACCCTGTACTATAGTACAGGGTCTTTGGTTCGATTTTTGAACAACTTTAAAAATTCATAAAAAATCTAATTTTGATCGGATTCAGCTTAAACTTGATACACAACATAAGTACATGTATATGCATCAGAAAACGTAATAAAAATGGAGAATTCTCTCCTAGTCATTTTTGTCAAAATTTGGCCAGTGGCCCTGTACTATAGTACAGCATCTTGGCCCAATTTTGATCAATTTTAGAATGTACAAAAACCTGCCTGTCTTTGACTAATGCTAATCAAGGAGCAGGACATTACCTGTATGCTTCCCTCCTGTTGGGCTGGTCCTATACCATACCTACCAGCAGTGCCTGCAGTTGTATTCAGTATCTAGTAATAGTAACAACAAGGCTATAGTCATTCATCAGTAATACAATACTAACTAACTTGAGTAATCTCAACAGTATTCCACATACTTGCTGCAATGTCCGGCGTCTTTGCAAAGCAACTCAGAGTGAGGAATATCTGTGCCTTCAGTTGCCTTGACACAGGACAACTTAACAGACCAAAGAGTGTGGCAACAGGTAGCCAGGTCTGACTATCATAAATCAGTATACGAGCATTCTCATCCTACAATGTATAGAATCATGTTACGTACCATATAGCAGGAAATTTTTTCATTGAGTGCTAATTTTCGTTTGTTTTGTTGGCCAAAAGTTTCAATAAAAATTTTACACAATCAAAATTTAAAATAAAGTGGGCGTGACTGGGTTAATGATTAATAATTACTGTTAATTAATAAAAATAAAATCAATAAAAATATTTTAAGCAAAGAAAATTTCCTGCTATACAGTAATACAATCACATGACAGTCACATGCTCACCAGGTCCACTATTAGTGCCACAAGTTTAAGGACTATGATGAGACCGTCGAGTTCCTGTGGAGATATGGCACATCCAGTTGATGTTCGGGATGATGGTTCAGCTGCTTGCTGAAGACCAAGGAAATACTGTTTTAATGACTGAAAGAAATGATCAAAAGAAATCACAGCTGATGGACCCCCACCACCTTGACTAGGACTATTAGACTGAGAGAGAGAGAGAGAGAGAGAGAGAGAGATGAAGCAAATTGAAGATGGTGGAATCATTTGAATTGTAGAATATTTTGTACTTTTAAAAATTCAAAGCAGTGACAGGCAGTGAGAGGTGAAGAAGAGAGTCCACAGAGCATTGTCATGAACGAGTGAAAGAGAGAGGGAGGAAGGAGGTCAGAACACTGATGAATAAACTTGTACAAACTCAACTACAGAAAAACATACAAACTATTAAATATTATATTTTAAATAAATATACATGTACATGTAAGCAGATACAAGATACACATACTTTTAGCAACTATAAATATAAACTATAAAAAATTTCATTAAAGCTTAGTTTTAAAACTTGACTATCAATTGTACATGTACATGTATTTCTGCTAATATGCATACACCGTATTACTTTAAATAAAAGCCCGGGCATCTATTTCTTAAAATGGTATTTGGACCTCAAAAAAAATTAAAATGAAATTAAAAATGAAATAAAACTTAGGCCAACATCAGGATTCGAAAAAGTGACCTCAAGCATATGACTTTAGGACTATCTACAATGTATCTATGTTATATTAAGGCTACATTTGGTATTTACAGTTCAATTTTATTGCTACCCTGGCATTTATTCGCTTGCAGCTTTTATTTGATAATATACATGTACATGTACATGTTTCTTACAGTTCTATGATGCTGTGACTGAGTAACAGGGTCACTGCTAGGCCAGAACTCAAGTGAGAGATTAAGCTCAAGAGGATCGTTAGCATAAAGCTCTCCAATCAACAACATGAATTCACCAAAACTCTGATTGAGTTTAGGGAGTGCCTGAGCTGTACCACCTCGCAGCATACGGAGGGTCTCCTCCCTGGCCACTTCATCTCCAAGATTACGTAGCTCAGTAATCTTAACAGGCATCAGGTATATGTAAGATGTTAGTACATGATGAATGGCCTTTATGTGATACTCCTGCAAAAGTATTCAATTTACAATAATATTATTCTTATAATGACTATTATTATAATTTAAGTACCTCTTGAAAGAAATTAGTTGCAGCTAACACTGAGTGTCTTAGGAACTGAAAAGCTTCAGAATCTATAGCTTCATCAATGAGTTCCTCGTCATGATCCAACTCAGTACAATCTGAAAAAATAAAGATATAAATCTCACTTCCCTCCTTTCTCTCTCTCCCTCCCTCCCCCTCTCTCTCACCTTTAAAAGCATCCAGTGATGAACATTCTCTGAGGAAGACAGCCCAAGCAAACTTGACAGCTGCTGCCAGCCCTCCATTAGCCCAGGGAGTCTTAGCAGTCACCTCTTGATGTATCAATGAGATGCTGTTCATATCAGCAAGAAATGGATAATGCTCATCAACCAGTGAGCTGTCAAGATTGCAGTCTGACTCCCCAACCCTCAAGGATACCAGGAAAGTGAGGAATAAGCAGAGGTAGGGCGGATCCAGTGGACTATGGGATTCACCAACGGACTGGACTTTCTTGAGTTCGAGGAGTATTTTTAAAAGAGAGTCTTTTGGTAATGGATTCTGACAGCCCCAGTACAGCAGACAGTCACAGAGTCCTAATAGATTACATGAACTATTAGAGGTGGGCGATACGATACCAAAGTACTCATATATCTGATACCAGGCCTCTGATACCAAATCCTGGTATCGAGTAGTGTAGTGACCACACCCCACCACACCTACTTTGATGTCATAACAATGGTCACTTCCTTTAGTAATTACAAAAAAGCCCGCTCATTTCCCTTAATTTTTATTAATAGCTAATTATAACTTATTTGTGCATGCACAGTAGCTGGCTACTCATTCAGTACTCAATACCATCGATACTGATACTTCAAAATTTCAGGTATTGCCCCTCTCTATGAACTATATCTATATGCATGCATGATTTGGTACAAAGGCCATTATTGATTGTAATCAAAATTAAATCAAGAAAATTGGCCATATTGCTTATCACTACAAAGTCTACAATACATACATGATACATGAACATGTCAATGAATTAAATAAAGAGGCCTATGCCCCTCCAAAAATTTTAAAATACAAAACAACTTTTCATATCACCACACACTCAACATTGCTGTTAAATATGATCAAATCTTTGTCATATCATCGTGGGTTGCCCAATTATAGTCAGTACTTCCTGTGCCTGCCCACAAAAATGTTGTTCATACAAACCAAATAATGCACTGAACAAAAACATATAAAAAAACCTATACATCTATATTTTTAGTTCTTACAATTGCATAGCACATGATATACACAGCTAACAGATACTTGTACATGTACTAAACATGCATCATACCTTGTTGTGTTTCCTTAATGAGATCAATGATTTGCTGCTTGTGGTGCGAGTCTTTAATAGCTCTACCAGTATTGAGTTTCTCCAGCTCTTTCTCAATGTTCATGTCTAAGAGCAACCTTGTGATCTTACCACTCAGATCATTCTGAAACAATTCTTGGACAAAACCAGTCACAAGAGAAACAACATTTTGTTCTAATCCAAGCGTCCATGATATCCCTTCACAGCCTTGGATAAGAGTACGCAAAGAAATGACAACATTACGACGTCCATCATAGTACAGTAAAACCGAGACTAGACCACGAGAGAGAGAAGGGAAGTCAGGCTGATGATGCTCTCCTGCTAGTAGGAGCTCAACTGAAGCTATCTCATTGAGGTCTAGGATATCACTGAGGATGAGAGCCTCGTCTATAAAGTCCTCAGGAAGAACCAGTGGCTTTGGAATGTTTGGTAGGGCCAACCCGACTTTATTGGCATTCTTAACTTGAGAGCGATGACTAGGATTCTGTGCCTATAATAGAATAGTGAGTCTTTGTCACATCTTTAAAATTAACTAAGAGTACAATGAGTTGTACATGTAACTAATAGATAAAATTTAATCCTAAATATGGTACTTAAATTACATGTAAATTATGCACACGGCTGTCAATACTATAAACAAGTACACATCTAGTCTCATAACTAATAATCTAATCATAAATTGAGTATTGAGTACTGTAAAACCTACAGGGTTCCTGAGTAAAGATATAAAATCTGGTTTGTGCTTTTTGAGGATTCCTTCCAACTGGTAGTATGATTGAGGCTGCTTCAGTGCAATCGCAGAATGAACTACAGTTGATAACTCTTTAAAAGGAGCCCACACACCTCCAGACATCCTTTATAAAGGGAAAAAGGAAAAAGGAAAAGAGAAATGGGGGCAAGTATTACACGTGGAATGGGAGGGGCTAAACCAAAGATTTTGGATCACGTGATAGTAGCTTCTAATCACGTGATTAATCGTCTAAAGTGGGCGAAATGTCACGTGCTAAATAAATGAATTTGATTGGTTGATTAGAAACCGCGCGCGCTTTAGCTTTACCGGGAAAGAAGAGATACCATTACCCGCGCGTTCTTGATTTTGTATTGGTTGCCAGGAGAAGAGAATTAAAATACTTACCAGTAGGGAGGATAAGGGACCGACAAGGAGCTAAAAGAAAGGAGCTGTATTATACTTTTGAGCTAATATTTTTGAAAATTTCCTACCGGACACGGTGAGTTTTTTTTACCACATGTACCACTACAACATTTAAAAGCACTATTTTTAGTCTAAAAAATGTTCCAAAAGCTTTTGGTTTAATTTCACCCTATTTTAGCTTTTTTGAGTGGCAAAACCCTGTAAATGAGGTATTTGCCGTTTCCTGGTTTTTGGCGGGAAGAGCCGCCATTTTGTAATATTTTAGCAGCTGACAATGTATACTACATACCACTGCCTCTTGAGTTAAGTGGATATGACCACTGTGTGCTAGCTGAACCATGAAAGGCTGCAATAAGCATCAAATAATGCAAAATATCAGCTGCATTTTGAAAAATGCCTCTGTTGTTAAAATGTTAAGTTAAAACACAATGATTTATCACTTGCTCATCATTTATAGCAAATTAGTTTACATTAACAACATTATCTACTTTTTATATTAATTTACAACCATGAACTGTGTATATCGGCCCACAAATTGACACATACATGTACTCTTGATGTACATGCGTCTATTTGTCTCTATCATCTTTTACATCCAGATACATCAATAATTATGGATGGAGTTGATTCTGGTATCAAGATGTTAGTGGAAGCCATTGCAGAGGCTCAGTCAACATCAGCTAGGAACACGGGCATTACATCAACACCACTCCGTCAATCAGCACTACCCACTAGTTGTGGGGTTCTGTCTTTAGAGAAGGAAGTTGGAGACATAAGCAGTATGTCTACCGGAGGGAGAGGAGAGAATGGTAATTATGACAGTGGAGGTGACTCAAGCATGAATAGTGGCTATAATGGAGACACTAGTGCTCTACCTGGAGAGTTTAATAGTCCACCTAAAGCCGGGAATCAACCAGGTTTGAATTTCAAACTGCTTCATATAAATATAACATGTTATATAATAATACATTAATTGTCTGTCTACATGTACATGTAATGCATTCATTGTCTACATGTCCATGTTGTATCTTCTGTTGTTTATGCTTTTCTGTCATGTACATTTTTATTTCTTATACTTTACAGGTACCCCATTGACTCCTACAGCTAATCTTAAGATGTTGGTAGCTGCAGCTAATTCAGCTCTTGAGATGGAGAATGCAAATTCAGCAGCAACCAGTGGCTCCTGTCTCATTGATAATCATTCTGATAGGGATGATGAGGCTTCATCCAGGAAAATGAAATCTCTAGCTTTACTATGTAAAAGGTTAGCTAGACAATTAGCACATGTACACATTACTAATGACCACTTATTGGCAGCTTTAATAATGTGATTTTTTATTCTTCACATATGATGTGCATGCTTTGAACATTATGCCAAATTTGAGTACCACCACATGTTTCACTGCCAAAATTGTCCCTTTGCAATTATTCTTCAGTACCTTATGTCACTTTTTTTGATGTCTTTATCATTCCTTATCATTGTGTAGTAAGTTTGTAAAAAGGCTGTCTTCATTGACTATAGTAACAACAGAGCCACCACAATAGCACTAACAATTAACATGTGCTATACATGTACAATGCTAGGTTATACAGTACTTACTTGTGTAGTATTTTACCTGCTTGCATGCTTAATTATTTTTTTGCTTTCAGTCCCTGGCTTATGTACTGTACTTTTAATGTTTATAGGTACTCCTAGCTATATTAGGTAGGATGTTCATGTCCAGTTGTATGTTTGCATGTACTGGTGTAGCCATGAATATGCCACTTAGTTGAATATGCCACTTAGTCTAGATGTGTACTATATTCATGAGCATTACCTCAGTCCCAACAGTCTGTAATGCTATATTGAGCTCAGCCAGTATCGTGTTACTAGTTTTGATTGTATATAGTTTCAGCATGCTTACACTGCCAGCTGCTTGTAGGATGCAACTTTATTCATTCACATCCACTTGCATAAACTTTGTAGTAAATGTATTTTTATGTGTGTATACATGTACATGACTACATGTATATTATTATACTTATAGCTTTATCTTAAATATGTTTTTTTATAAATATATATTAGGTTTCTTCAGGTAGCCGAGGACGAGATAGGCCCTGGTAAGGAGTTCAGTCTTGAGATGATTGCTAATTCCCTTGGAATCAATCGTCGTCGCATCTACGATATAATAAATGTAATGGAAGCACTGGAAATGATTTCAAAACAATCCAAGAACTGGTACCAGTGGCATGGGCAGAGCAACCTTGTTGCTACACTAGCTAAGCTAAAAGTAAGAGAGGAGGCACATCTTTCATTCTTTTACATACATGTATTCGATAGTACTGTAGCTGTACATGTACATGTATATTTGCACTTTAATTTTGCGTACATGTAGCATATGCAACTGCAAAGTTAAAGCTCTGCATAATATTTAATGATTATTAAGGATGTATGTGTAGCACAAATTTGCTTAAAGTTTAATTTTTATAAATTTTTAAAAGTGTTGCTTTGCAAAAGTAAAGCTATAGTGTTAATGAGCTTTCTTTCCCTCCCTTCTTTTCTTAAAGGCTATGGCAGTTGATGATCCTGATATCCAGCCATATCTTGATGTTGATTTTGATGCTGTGAAGAGCAGCAACAAAGAGAATGAGAACGGCAACGAAGTACAATAATTATAATTATTTCCTTTATTAAATTTTTAATTAAAAATTACAGGATCCATCTTCCTCTGCCAAGGGTTCTGTGAAGCTTGTCCTCGAGGAGGAGGATGAAGATGATGATTCTGGTGGGTGTGGTTTAGTTATTAATAGTTATCAAGTTTTCTTAGATGTCCCTGCTGCGGCCAGGTCTGTGCGATATGATAAATCACTTGGAGTTTTGTGTCAGAAATTTGTTATGCTGTTTCTCATATCAGCTGTAAGTGAATCTCTGTAATTTCCTGTATAAGTCAGTAATTTTTTGGTAATTTATTGTAATCTTTTGGTTATTTTTTAACTCGGTATTTTTATTGTTCCTATAGTGTACTGAGATTACATTGGAGGATGCTGGTAAGATATTGGTACCAGATTATCATGATGATACACTTTATATGGCATTAAACCCTCCAGTCAATCCTAAAAGTAATAATAATCATCTTTCTTCATATTTACCTCCTTTGTTTCTGTTCATTTCTATCTTCTTGCTTTTATAATAATAATGATTATACCCATAAATAATATAAATAACAACAATAATAAACATATCAATAATAAAAATAAAAATTATAATTGTAAATAATAGTAATGCTATAATAATTATTACATTATCTTTCTTTTCTTCATTCTTCTTAGCTAAAGTCAGACGTCTGTATGACATTGCTAACATTCTGTCAAGTATTGGTCTAATTAAGAAGAAAGTGTTTGTGGGGCCACATCACATAAAGAAGCCAGGCTATGCCTGGTCTGGCCCTAGTCTAGCTGACATTGAAGCTATCTGTAAGTTAAAATAATCATTATTAGTACATGTAATAATAGTAATGTAAGTTGGAGGATTTCAACCAGTAGCCTGCTAATAATATGTTTCGGGATTTTAAAATTGGGCTACAGACCATGTACATGTACATGTACTATAGTACGGGGTTTTCGCATTACACATTATAAATACAATGTGGTTCTGTTCAGTGATTCCTATGGAAGTTAGATTTTAGAAATTTAGGGGAATTTTGGCCCATACATCTACTGTACATGTATATTATGTCTGTGTGTATATGCATAATGATGTACATGTTTTTTATGTATAGCTGTATCAAGGAAGAATGAATATATTCTTAATAAAGGAATAATGAGGAGATCCATTAACTCAAGGCCTTATCTTCATCAGTATGAAGTACAGAGTAAGAATTTGTGACTTCCTCCTCTCTCTCCCTTACTCCCTTGCTTCTCTTTCTTTTGTATTGCTGAGTTATATTTATTCTTATTTTGTAGCAGAAGGAGCTCAAACTACTGGTGGAGGATCGGTTCCAAACTCACCAGCTAAAGGAGCAAGTAATAAATTTAAGAGAAGCCTATCATTTGGTGCAGTAAGAGGAGGAGGAGGGGTACTAAAGACAGGAGAGAATAGCAGTACTGCTAGTACTTTAGCTACCAGTACCTCCTCTAGTAGTGAGTCCTGCTCTAAACAACAACCACAACAATCCACAGTAGTAGCTAGACCCTGTGAGTACAATAATGAGTACTACTTAATTACTTACATGTATGTAGTCATGTACGTAATACATGTATTGATTAGGTTTTTTTCTTGTATTGCTGTAACTCTCTCTCTCTCTCTCTCTCTCTCTAGTATGTCCCAAGCAGGTTGATTATCTTCGTGAGATGAAAGAGTTTGAGACTGAGATGCAGAAGCATTCTCATCGCTATCCTCATGATATCCATTCCTACACTCCATTAGTGTACATTACACATGTACCATGCATTAATCATTGTAGTAGTAGCCTCATTTAGTAAACCATCATGCTGCTGTGCATTTTGGAGGGAAAAATTTTGGCTATTTTGCCCATTTTGAAAGCCATTAAATTTGCCGAAATAAAACCCAACCTTTATGCACTTGCATGGCCAAAAGCTTGCCAAAATAACACTAATCACCAAAATTAGCAAACTTTCCCCTCCTATATTTAGTTCTTTTTTATGTGTATTGTGTTAATTTTGGTGTAGTCGTTAAACCAATGTGTCAAATTTACTCTCCTTGACTCTGTTATACTAGCCACTATATTCCACGAGTTTCTACAAAAGTATCAAGCGACCCTGGAGCTAACAGCATCAATCAACGGACGCTTCATCCTCCCTAAATCGGCCGGCGAAGGGGGCGGGGCCAGTGGATCCTCTCCTCCATTATCACCTACTCGACTAGTAGCTGATCAAGAGGAAGATTCTGTCGCCATGCAAGATGTCAAACCGTCTTTATCATCATCTCAGTCACTCAGCGACAGCATGTCCATGCCCTCTATTGTGACCACTTCTAGCCACACACCCACTAAGACTTCTCTCACTGATGGAGTGTCTGTTGAAACTCTTATTGCACTGCCTCCTTGCAGGTTTGAGACTGGAGGAGCGGAACAGACTCAGTTTCCACGTCCTCCCTCTTCTTCTTCACATGGTAGTCTTGTTAATAAGCAAAGGACTCTAGAGAGACTCACGCAGCAAAGGCCCAACATACCAGGAGGTGTGGGTGTGGTCTCGTTGCCTAGTAACAGCCAGGGATTGTTGCCTAGCAGCAATCCGGCTCTTCCAAGTATATCTACGAGTGCCTTTGTCACCAATCTTGCTAACTCTATACTTGTTAATGTCCTTCATAATAACATGATGGAAGCTGCTGCTGCTGCTACTGCAGTGTCTCAAGGGAAGCAGGGATTGGCTGGAGATGAGTTACTAATGAAACCAGTGGCTCCTAATGGAGGAGGGGGAGTGAAGGAGGCATCTTTATCACAGTCATCACAAGGTCACTCACCTCTCCAAGCTACACTGAGGGGTTTCTCTCAACAGGTTAATAAACCTCCTAGTGGAAGTGTGGCTCGATTGCCTGAACCTCCTCTCACTAACGGGCTAGCCTCTTCAGCCCTCTCCTTCAATCCTAATCATTTATTGAACTCACAGGCAACTGCCTCTTACATCTCTCCCAAGTTTAATACCAGCGGGGCCACTAGTGGTACCGTCTACTGCCAGCCTGCAGCAGCAGTCCTCAGGCTACCTTGTGTTACTAATAATAGTAACAATGAGACTCAAGGTGGGCCGTGTCCTAAACAACGGAGACTCAATTAGTTTGCATTCTAGTAATTTGACAACCCTCTTGTACATGTGTAGGTCTAGTATTATTATTATAGGAGTCATTTTAATATTTAGTGCGGCTGGGAATAATACATTATGACTATTATTATTTATTATTATTGTGTATTCACTTTTCTTAGGTCTTTTATTTGTGCTCATTTATACACTTTTCATTTATTGTTGAGAGACTGAGTGAGAGAGGGAAGGAGAGTCTATGTGCATACATGTATTGTGTTATGGCACATTTTAATCTCTATTATTATTATTCATCAATCAATTGTTATTATTATTATCAATTTATGTACAACTAGAGATTGGATGAGTGCTGGGTGTGTCTGATATCTATAATTAATTGAGAGTGAAGACCACGTGCTGGCACGTGGTCAAAATTTACAAATCCCTAAAATGGCGTCTGAAGCAAAGCGACTCAAACTTGATCCTGAAATCCTTACAGAGGAAGCAGTGGATGGTTATGAACGAGAACACAATCGGCTCTCTTCTTTGGATGATTCTGTGAAGGAAAACAAAGAACATTTATCACTTGATTCCCTACCAATGGAGATCATACAAGAGATATGTATGTTACTGTCACTCAGAGATAAGATGTCCCTTAGATTAGTCAATAGACAGCTTTACACGATATGTTCCGATCCTTATTTGTGGACAAATGTTTTCATTGATGATGCGTACCATAAGACAAATGCTCCATTCATTAAATCAGTTTTTAAAACATGTCAACCACACGTACAGTCACTTAGTTTAAGGGGACAGCTACCGTTCAGTTGCTACCAACCAAAAATACTCAACTGTAAAAATATTCATACGTTGAATCTATATGGGTTTGAGATAAGTCTCAGTGCATTCGAGAAGATTTCTTCACCTTCATATTTTCCTCACTTGCAGTACTTGACGCTCACCTTATACAAAACAACTTCTGTTAAACTATTTGGAATGAAGTTTTCATGTCTTTCCCACTTAAAAAAATTTGTCATTGTTAAGGAAGTTTTCTCAGGAATTGCTTTCTTTTTTCAGAAGTGGTTGGAAAATAAGTGCTTACCACATATATTTATTATTGTTGGCTTGGTTAGTCTTGATATAGAAGAGTTTTCCGAGCAACCTCCTGCCATAACTCATTCAGCTCACTTTGCAGTCTATCAAAGATATCGTCGACCTTTGAACTTTGATTTTTATGACATACCACTGTATTCATTGCAACTTGGTCCCAACAATTCTGAAACTGTTACTGTGACTGCTAATGGTGAGCTAATGATTGCATTGAAAGATTTCATTACACCAACTACACAGCCTAATAATGATGATTTTAAGCGACAATATGCTCTATTTAACGACAAAGATATTCCTCCTGGTCTACCAGTTTATACGAGTCAATATGGAATTAATGTTACTGTACTTCAATTTGAATTTATATCCTTATCACTTGAGTCGTTTCGTTTGATTGTTAAAGACACACCAAATGTGTTAGAAGTTAGTTTTAAAGAATGTACTCTATCAGATTGTATGGATGCCTACCTGGTTCCATTATCTGAACACTGTCTGAAACTGAGAGGGTTAGATGTCTATACTTCTGTGGATATTGATGTGGAGCATTTTTGGCATCTTTTATCAAAAATGAAAAGTTTAGAGTTTTTGTCCGTCAGCTGTTGCTCTCTTATATCAACAAGTCTCTGTATTAATTCGACCACAAGGGACAATATGATTAACTATATTAAGAGTATGTCCAGTCTCATAGGTCTTCATGTAAGGAACTGTGAATTTTTTCATTGTAAATTATTGGATCCAAATCTAAATTTGAGGTATGAAAATTTGCTTCCAATTGTCTCAAATCTGAAATCTCTAAAGTATCTCAAAGTTTCATTCAGCTCTAATGCAGCAATTGAACTTAAAGAATTGCTTCAGAATTGCCAGCAGCTCTCAGTTCTCGATATTGATAATGCAAAGCTCATACTACCAGTTGACCCTGCACTGTATAGTAACCTCACTCACCTTCGCCTTGATGGTACGGGCTTCACTTCAGATTTTGTTACTGCTCTTGCTGTCAATAGCAAGAGACGTTTGAAACATTATAGTCATAATAATCACAAATTTATTGAAGATCTTGCTCTGCTGAAATTAATGATGTCCTGTAGCTTTATTACGTCATCATTTTCTCTACTTCAGAAAAAATTCCCAGTTTCTGAAGAAGGACCTAACTCGGACTTTGATGCTTTGCATCTGCATTAACTAAAACTAATAATTTGCTAGTTGATTTATATAATGTTGTGTTGATTTATTGGTTTCCATTGAAATTGACATCAGAGATGGGTGTGACTACTTTCAAGATCTACTGTATCTATAAACACCATTACAGTACTCCTATGCTTACGTGATAACACGTGATTATAATTTACAGAGATCTACTCTAAAATCGTACATTACTATTATGTACTATACACTATAAGCTAATAATTGCTACTGCAGCAACTAATTGTACTTTGGCTTTTCTCACAAGTTTTATTATTATACTGTGTATTCGCTTTTCTTAGGTCTTTTATTTGTGCATTTATAAACTTTTCATTTATTGCTGAGAGACTGAGTGAGAGAGGAAAGGAGAGTCTATGTGCATACATGTATTGTGTTATGGCACATTTTAATCATTATTATTATTGTTACTATTGTTATTATTGTTACTATTGTTATTGTTGTTTAATTGGCTATCATTGACAAATCCCTAAAATGGCGTCTGAAGCAAAGCGACTCAAACTTGATCCTGAAATCCTTACAGAGGAGGAAACAATGGATGGTTATGAAGGAGAACACAATCAGCTAGTCCGGGTACATCAGCTCTCTTCTTTGGATGATTCTGTGAAGGAGAACAAAGAGTATTTATCACTTGATTCTCTACCAAAGGAGATCATACAAGAGATATGTATGTTACTGTCACTCAGAGATAAGATGGCCCTAAGATTAGTCAATAGACAACTTTACACGATATGTTCTGATCCTTGTTTGTGGACGAACGTTTTCGTTGATGATGCGTACCATAAGACAAATTCTCCATTCATTAAATCAGTTTTAAAAACATGTCAACCACATGTACAGTCACTCAGTTTAAGGGGGCAGATACCGTTCAGTCAGTATCAATCGAAAATATTCAACTGTAAAAATATTCATACGTTGAATCTGTATGGGTTTGAGATAAGTCTCAGTGCATTCGAGAAGATTTCTTCACCTTCATATTTTCCTCACTTGCAGTACTTGACGCTCACTTTAGACAAAAGAAATTCTATCAAACTATTTGAGACAAAGTTTTCTTGTTTTTCCCACTTAAAAAAAACTCGTCATTGTTGTGGGAGGTTTCTTGGGAGGTTCTCACTTTTTTCGGAAGTGGTTGGAAATTAAGTGCTTACCACATATACTTATTGTCGTTGGCTATACAATAGGTATAGAACAGCTATACAAGAACTTTACAAGAGCTATACAGCCTCCTCCCATAACTCATTCAGCTCACTTTTCAGCCTATAAAAGATATCGTCGACCTGTGAACTTTGATTTTTATGACATACCGTTGTATTCATTGCAACTTGGCCCCAATAATTCTGAAACTGTTGCTGTGACTGCTAATGGTGAACTAATGATTACATTGAGAGATTTTGTTACACCGACTACACAGCCTAATAATGATGATCTTAGCCGACAATATGCTGTTTTTAACAACAAAGATATTCCTCCTGGTCTACCAGTTTATACGAGTCAATACGGAGTTAATGTTACTGTTCTTGGGTTTGAGTCTGTAACCATATCACTTGAGTCCTTTTGTTTGATTGTTAAAGACACACCGAATGTGTTAGAAGTTAGTTTTAAAGAATGTACTCTATCAGATTGTATGGATGCCTACCTTGTTCCGTTATCTGAACACTGTCTGAAACTGAGAGGATTAAGTTTGTCTCATTTGTCTACTACTGGGGATAGTGGCCATAAAATTGATGTGGAGCATTTTTGGTATCTTTTATCAAAAATGCAGTATTTAAAGCTGTTGTCTGTCAACTGTTGCTGTCTTATCCCACCTATCGCTGACTCACCATCATTATCAAAGGAAGGAGGAGGTTCATCACAAGTATCTTGTTTCCCTGATATTGATTCAACTGCAAGGGATAATATAATTAACTATATTAAGTGTACGTCCAGTCTCAAAGGTCTTGATGTAACACATTGTCAAAAATTATGTACATGTTATCAGCATTTGCTTCCAATTGTTTCAAATCTGCAACATCTCATTTATCTCAGAGTCAATTTTAACTATGCAAGCAAAGTGGAAGTGAAAGGACTTAAAGAAGTGCTTCAGAATTGCCAGCAGCTCTCCGTTCTCTGTATTAACAAAGCGAAACTCACACTACCAGTTGATCCTGCACTGTATAGTAAC